ACGCAACGCGCCTGTCTTCTCCCACGTGCTGATCAGCCCGTTCACGAATGGCAAAGGCACTTGATCCACATTCCAACGCTCCCAGAGCTGGAACTGACCGTACTTGGGATCTCTGGACTCTCCCTCCGCGACCGTCGACATCGCCGACACGTCCGATGCCTCGGGTGCCCTGTACCGTACCGGCTCTTACAGGAGCTTGCGAAACCGCCGGTGGAAGCGCTGGATCTTTGGTAGGTGCTCTTCAACAGACTTGTTCTTGATGTTGTTCCTGCGCCGTTTGGACAGCTTATGCCTCTTTGCCCATTTTCGTGCCCACCTGAAGGACGCGCTGAACGCCGCCGCCCGTTGGTCCTCAGGGTGATTCTCTTGCACGAGCTTCCGGAACGTGACCGTCAGCCACAGGGTCGACACCTTCAGCTTCCTCCTCCGCCGCGCCAAGAACATATTGTACAGCTTCTTCTCTTCCTCAGGAAACCACCGCTTTGGCTGCTGTTTGGCAAGGAGGGTCTTCTTCACGTCATCTGCTGCCGATTGGACTATATTGGCCTCGTCCTGAGCCCACTTCACGATCAGGCTGTAGTTAACCTTGAGACGGTCCTCTAAGTACTGGAGAGGCGTGAGCTGCTCCTCCTTGAAGAGGTCTGCGGCGTCTTCCTGGAGGAGGCGCAGCTGGGTCACAACAAGGGCTTTGAACCTGACATCGTATCGCTTGCGCTTCACAGCTCCACGAGTCTCCTTGACTTTGCGGTCCGTAAAGCCGTCGCTTTCCAAGTCGAGATCGCGGAAGCGCTTCCGTTGGAGGACGAACGAAGCCGCCCCCGTCGCACCATCGACCTTCACGTGCCAACAACGTCCAGGCCCGGCTTCTCCCCACGGCTGAACATACCCTTTGGGAGTCTTCCCTAGCATCCGCTGCAGCCGCAAGCCGTTGGACATGGTTGCATTGCTGTGCTGTGTTTTCACGTGGATCCCAAGTCCTTGCTCGTTCACGAAGGTCATGGGACAGTGAGGGCACGGTATGCGCCGCTCCGGGGCCGGAGGTGGAAAGTTGATACCGGACACATGCTCTGTGACACCACCGCGAGTCCGCCCAATCTACACGGCGCGGTAGGAGAAGAGCGGAATTGAGGTGCAGGTGATTCAACGAGCTGTGGACCTGAAATTGCGTGGATGTCGATGGCAAAATATATCTAT